ATGGAAAGCTTGGTTGGCCTATGGGGATATTAATTCGGGATTCGAACCCGTGACCATGTGTGTGTGAAGTGCGCCACTTGCCCCTACTCCAACTCTGTCGATGCACGAAGGTATACCGCTATATCGAAGATTGCGATATACCGTATACGCAAGGAAGACTCTAGTCGTCTGTTGTCTCTTCTATCTCGCTACATGGTTACTGTATAGATATGTCCGTAGACTGCGAGATCTCGTTTGTCTTTCAAATGGTATGATATAGGATAGCCCAGCATAACCTAAACATCCTCGATCTGCTGATCCTGCCTTATATGTACCGATCGCTCCCTTCCCATGTGTTACAAGCTCACTTTGTGAGTAGGAACTGACAGAATTCAGTTCCCAACCTCAAGCAGAGCCAGCTTGCTACGATGAAGTAAATCAGTAGATAAGAATGGTATCTGGAAAAACGCCATCTTGGGTGGATGTCCCATAAAAGACCAAAGCTTCATCTCATAGGAACACCCCTTCTGGTCTCACTCTTTCAATGAAATGGAGGATCAAAGCAGTAGAAACTCACCAGTATCTTCTACTAACCGTCTCCTGTCACCTTTCTTCAGACTCCTTGCATTTCTCAGGCTGACATGTGTTCCAGTGATCCGAGCGATTTTAGCTTTCAGCACTGAAACTCAGAACTTGTATTTCTACGGAATTGTGTTGAAGGATGGAGCTTCAAAATCGCGTATATATAACTAAAAAATATGATGCCCGCTATTTTCTCACCTAGCTGACTACGACAGAAATGATCGACGAGATTCTCGAATGTTCCAACTTGAACGCACGCCGGACAGCTGATATCGCGAGCTGAAATTGGAGACATTCGATCGACGGGGACAACAGGAGATAGTCACAATATCAATCGATAGACTATGTTACTACTAATGGAAACTGAATATTGTGTGAGCTGTGAACAAAGGTGGAATAATTCTTATGTGGGCCTTATGATGGTGAAAGTTCGCAGTGTGGGGAGGGGTTTGAGTTCTCAAAGCGCCTGTAACCCAATTTAATGTTGGACCACTGCCACTTTCTGACCGTCCTACTTTCAAAAGATTTCATCTTAAAATGTTATTTCATCAGAATGTCCTAGTTTTTTTTTTTTGGCAGAACTAGTATGTGGTAGAAAGATTTGCCACTTGAAGAGCAAAACCCTTTTTCTCGCTCCAAGGGATAGGACTGCGAAAAGTGGGAAACGTAGGAAACCCAAGGTCTAAAAAGTAATTCATTTGAAAAGCCCTTTCATAATTAGTAGTTAGTTAACCATGAGAAACGGTAGCGTAGCGGTCTGTGGGAGAAAGCCACATCCAGAAAGGCCGCAGTTGCGGCTACCGTCACAGGATACCAGACAGACCATGGTTTCGACCGAGCAACGCTGACTAATTGATGAACCCATTGAAATTTACTAGTATAAGGCCCATATCTCCAGTTCTTTTCAGGGGTGTGAAAGAAGCAGCCGCGGAAATGGAGTAGCATCGAGTGGTACCACTGCCAGACGTACGGTCCGGTGATCGAGTTGCGAATTATAGCCCGCCCACGTCAACTGGTACCTTCATCTTCTGCAGCACTGAGAGGGCAATAGGATCGAGCTGTACTGGTACGTGGCCATAAAAATCATTTCCTATGTTGAATAGGGTGAATATGTGCTCAAGAGGCTACAATACTACTCAGAGAAAGTCGAATAGAAGGGAAATGCTCTGACGACGGCTGATGGGAAGAATTAAATCGCTTTTTTCACTTCCAGAAAATGATCGCAATGGAAGCTGTTAGTACCGAATGAGCGAAAGTTCGCCCTCATGAGATAGGGCATCCTACCTCTATCAACTCAGCTCCCTTTTGTCTAAATGCAAGAAATGGCAATCCGTCATTGAGTTGATTCAACTGAGTAATTGCAAAATATGACCTTTTCATGTGTGCATTCTATGTAAAAAGACAGCATGGGGGGTAATTCCTTAATTTAACTGTTCCAGATGGGTTCGGATTCCAACTACTCGATTGCCCTTTATCTACCGTGCCGCACTTTACTTCTCTCCTGCAAAAATGAGCATTTAACGAGCAAGAATACTCTTCCATTTGGTATTCAGAACGGATGTGAAGTGCCTTCCGCGAAAGAATGAAGTGCTCTTAGCTAAGAGCATGGCCTTCTACGAGAAACTCTTAGACAATGGAGTCTGTGGGAACGGGAGACAAAGAAGAGGACGTGTAGGAGCGTGGATCGAACCTAGCAGCCTAGCTCTTTGGTGAATGTGAGATTCGATTACCAGAAAAGAAGGAGTCATTCCCACAAATAGCGCTCTCCAAATTGAGCGCATTTCAGCGTTCTCTCTAACATTGGGCCCAAGTTTTCCTTGATTCGAAGATTAGAATATGGGTGTCGGATGTATTTCTGGAAATGTCCGCGACATCCAAGACAAAGTGATCATCCAAGAAATGCCATCAATTCAGAAATTTCAATCTTCAATCTCTTCCCGAGATTAGACCATAGCATACCACCAACTGACTGGCAAGATTTGTGAATCATTCTTTTTCAGTAGATTGCAAGCTAACATTCCCTAGCCGGTGCACAAAATTACCGGTGGAAAATAGCGAAGCCCCTGGTTCAGGTAAACATCACCCACACAGGAACGTGTGTGCAACTACCGAGCTACCAAACCTCATCGCTCAAATCGTGGAGAGCTTCGAGATGTGCGTCGGTTGCCGATTTGTAACTGGAGACAGCTCTCCGGCTGCCTGCCCAACTGTGATTGTGTGTGCGGATGAAGAGCAGGATGAAAGGGTGCCGCCATCTTACCACTTCAAAGCTATGCCGCCAAACGCTATTTTGTTGCCTGAGGCAGTCTTCGTAGTGAACTTGACTAGTTATCAATCACCACCTTTTTTCAGTTCATGCGCATCCCTCTGATATATGTCACTGCCAAAGAACGCCAAAATCCCCATCTTTGTCATGACAGATTTAGCTACCATCTCATCCTCTGAAGTCATCATGGAGAAAAGACTCGATTGATAGCCGGAACAAGAAACGGACCATCTCTTTGATGTAGCGCGCAACTGCTGAGTTCTATGTCCAACTGACGCAGGTCACGCCGGGTGTTAGCGAATCGATGATGCAGGACAGATCCGTCGAGTTGAGATTATTTATTCGTAAGTTCAAAAACTGGTCACTTGTATAAACATATCCGCCAGACGCGGCGTTGTGCTTTAGAAGTGTGGGATTAGATGGGACGACCAACTGTCACGATTTTAGTACATATTGGGTCTCCTATATGGGGGACTCGATTTAGTGGTGAAACTGATCCATGCTAAGGGTGAAGAAAAGAGTTAGTCTTGATAGAAACACATACATAGATGGGAGGAGGATCACAATTGGATCAAACGACTGACCGTGCATTGGGCGTGCCAACTTGCCTTGTTTCTCGACGTTCATAGCCTTAATACACATATCGTTATCTTCGGGATATTTATCACAGGATAACATTTCTGGCCATGGGAAACCGTAGACAGACATCCGTCCTTCACAACCCTAAAATCATCGCTATTATCGGCTCCTATTCTATCAAACTCTATCATCTTACCTGTTTAACTGCATTACATAGTGATCGGCATGGCAGAATCTCTTTGTCCATAGTTGGCAGACAAATTGGAGCGAAAAGTGAACATAGAAAAAGCTAAAAAATGCTGATCATTGGGAAAATAGAAATCGTTCTGGGGGATTCGAACCTGTGTGTCTGGATGGCAATTCAACTGAAGTAACGACTTCCAATCACTCGACTGATGAATCGCTTCATTAATGGTGTCATGTTCCAGTAAATTTGGAAGTCGCATTTGACTGTACTGAAAATATCGTGTATATTCTTTCCCGAAGAGAAAAAAAGCCTTTTCCGCTCCCACTTTTTTGTAACGCCTGGGAAACTGAGCTTGAGTTTTTGCTTCAGGCGCTTTCTCCTAAAGTGACGGAAGTACGCCCGAATGGAGGAAAACGAGAATGTCAAGTGAGTGTGCATAATTTTCACTACCATAGATCCCTTATCGTTTCTAACGAATCTAGTGGGACTCAAATGAGTCGCTGGATAATTGAATCATCGAAGACAAACTCAGTGGACTACAAAATCAGCAATTATTGTTGTTTGTTACCATGGCGAAGTCAATAGGGAGCTCTCGTTGAAGCCGGGCATTTGTATCTAAGCGATGAAGCCCTCGAAAGTTCTTAGAGACGGCTTTTATGGGCAACTTTTCCTTGGGATGAATTTTGAGGCAATTCTAATCAGTAAGACTTTACACTTGTTCATTTGTCATTATTGTGACAGCAATTCACACTAATCCCCATTAATTACATGGGAACGGATGCTCAAGTGACAAAAGGCGATTACAAATGAAATGTCACCTGCATGCCGTAACAAATGGTGAGATTGTGTGGTATGGGTACACATCGTGGGCTCGTTGGCCTTTCCGAGCTGAGCATCCATGAATCGGAAAGATACGCTGAGGAGACAGATATTATTAAGAGAAGGGTGGCGAGCAACGAAACACGGGACATTGTAATGAGGATTGAAGCCACGCCCCCTGAGGCACTTCTTGACCAGAAGGAGGTGCGAACTTGGACACCCAGAGTGCAGCAGAGTACCAATTATGTAGGATACGTGCTGATGAGACGGAAATCGTGCTTGTCGTGGTAAGGAGTCTTTCTGACATAAGTCGTTTTTATGAAAATTGGGTCGGTTGCTAAGTAGATGATGGAGTTTGTCTAGGGCGTTGCCAAAGTTTAATATTCGGTGCTTTTTAAATATTTTCATTCAGGTTAAAGCAAATTTA